GACTATTGTTTGAGGACAAAGATTTACATGAAAGCCTAACTGTTGCATTGGTTGGCAAATATAAGGATTTTGGAAGAGGTTGTTTATAGAAGGATAATAAGGTGGGTACATCGAATAAGGCTAACAAAGGGTAAAGCCTCCAGTCTATTGCCCCTGATAAATCAGAGCTTGAGCATCTCTTTCCTTTTTTTTTGGCACATTATCTCTCTTTGCATCATTTGTACCACTTTTCTTATGTTTGTTATTCTTGATCGCATTTTCTATCATCTCTCCAAAAATTTCCATTTCAACAAAATTCTAAATGGCATTTTTAATCATCATTTCATAATATAGACCTTTAAGAGTATTGAAAACCATAACCATGGACTCTTTGTCAATGAATGATGGTTGAACTTGGGTAACAACATCCCTTTACCTTTGGACATATTCTTTAAAGTTTTCAATGTTTTTCTTTTTCATGCTTTGTAAAGACAAACAATCTGGAGCCAAATCTATAATGTTATTATATTGTGTAATGAATGCTTATCTAGTTCTTTTCAACCATAGATGTGGGACCTATTTAATTGGACATACCACCTTAAAGCATATATAATAAGGTTATTTTGAAAAAAATGGATAAGTGACTTTTTATCATGTGTATGTGCGACCATCTTGCAGTAGTACATAGTGACATATATTACGGGGCATTTGGTTTCATCATACTTTTCAAATTTAAGGACTTTAAATTTGAGTGGAATGATCATATCAGGAACCAAGCACAGTTCAACAACATTCATTGAACCATTAAAATCCATTGTTAATAACTAAAAACCTTTCTTCAATAAGATCTATTTTCTGTTGAGATTCAAAGCCTTTATTGGTTTTTACTATGTTTATCTTCAGCTTTTTTTATTTCATTGGATCACTCAGATTAGGAACCTAAGTTGGATCAAGAATAGGAGCTAAGTGAGTAGGAGCAATAGTTGGAGGCATGTCAGTATACATGTAAGGGTAGCTTGCCATAAATGGCATTCGATATTAAACCCTTTGAGATGTCTGTTTGGAATATGTGCCAAAGCAAGGTAGGTATATCGAATCATCAATCTGTTCAGCCATTGTTTTCTTTTCGTTCAAATTATTTAGCAATTCAGCCATATCTTTTAATTACCCATTCATATCTTTTTATGTATTTTCCATCATTAAGAAATGAAGAGCTTGTTTATCTACCATAATTTTGATTGATACGAAGATTGAGCTATGTTCAAACCTATTTACCACAATTATGATGATATATTACTAGATGCCAAGAATTATCTTAACTTGTTAGAAACATTCTTCTATATGCATGAATGAATAAATGAATGAACATATTGAATATGATACATAACAATTCAATGATGCATGAATGGATAAATAAATACATTGACATAACAATTTAATGATGCATGAATTGAAAAATGATTGCATGAATGGATGCATGAGTTAATGTTTGCCTTATAATGATGCATGAATGAACAAATGACTACATGAATGGACATATGAATTAATGTTTGCCTCATAACAATGCATAAATGAAGGAATGCATGCTTTGTCTTATGATGCATGAATGAACAAATGACCACCTAAGTTAACATGATGTATGAATGGATACATAGAATGACAAAAATTCAATAATGCATAGATAAATGTATGAATATGTTAATATTTGCCACATAACAACACATGAAAAATTGAATAAACATAAATTCATACAAACAAAACTATAAAAGTTCCTTCATATATCCTAACTTAGGTTACATTCTAACAATGGGTAGGCATAGCTCTAACTTAAAGTTAGCTTCTTATGTTTTACTACATATGGTTTAGGTTAACTCTAAAAGTTCCTAAATTGTTTCTTACATCATTGTTCAAGACAGACTAGTAAGGTACTCCAATATTCACCTATATAGGCTACAAGTGACAATGGTTTAATTTGAATATGAGTATTTTGCCAACCTATGCAGAGATAAGAAATCTCATGAAAACGTAAGTACTTTACTCCCCTCTAAAGAGGACAGGACCTAGATATAGAGCTCATTTGATGCATATGCATGTAATAGTGTGTGTGAAAGAATATATATATCTTTATTTGCCATGTTCATAAGCCAAGTCTAAGAATAAAAAACAATAAAAATAAATGCAAACAAAAACGAAGAATAATTTAAGACCAAGCAAACTAAAAATTAGGATAATTCAAATTAATTAATGGCCTGACTCTCGGAGTCTCTAATGGAATTGCCAAACTATCACAACATATAGATTTGTAGAGCTATCGTTAGATCTGACTTTAAGGAGTCATTACCAATCTTTTTAATTAGATGAGATTGGCTATCTAACTAAATCTATCATTTTTTAAAGAGAAATCTCAATAACTCAGGTATCTTTAAAAGATAGATTTTATGTCTACGAAATCAAAACTAGATTCGAGATTACAGTTACGTGTAAGAAATGTTATAGCACCTTCACAATGCCAATCAAATGATGGTACCAGTTTGACTTCATATTATCCAAACTTTAAAATGTGTTTGTAATTTATCTAGTAAATTTAATATTGAAAACTATTTTTAAAATTACTTTAATCGTTTGGTAAAAATTTAAGACAATTTTCTCACCTTAGGAATATTCATGGAGACTCATGTTTCATTTTGAAGAAGTTTCATTGTCGGATTCATTAACATATTTTCTAGAAAACTATTTTTTTTGAAATCAAATAATAAAATCCTCCAATTGTTTGACAAGATTTTATATCAATGCATATCCCCCAATCATTTTGGTGAAAATTTTGTTGAAAATCATTTTATGAAAATTTTAAAAATAAAGGTATTTAAATCCTCTAATAGTTTGATAAAATTTAATAGAAATTTGAATCCTCCAATCATTTGCTAGGATTGAAAAATTATTTTTCTAAAATTCATTATGAAATTCTCTAAGTGTTTGATAGAATTTATAATTAAAGATTTAAATTCTCTAATTATTTGGTAAGAATTATGAATTTATTATAAAATTTTATTTTAAAAGAAGAAAGAGAAACAACTAAGTAACATAAATAGATATACAAATAAAGAAAAAAATAGAAATTACTTTGTCTTCTTTCTTGTTTCTCTACAAAACAACCTATGGCTTCACTAGCGCCCTTCGCCTGTGGTGATTATCTTTTTTTTTTTTGTTTTAAACAAAAATCAAATAGAAATTTAAAACACATATACACAAAACCTTTGAAAATTTTACTGCTAAAATTTTTTATTGGATGCCTTTCTTTTGTGTTTTTTTTTTCAATTTTTTTCTTCAACACAGAACTCCAAAGAGAAAATTCTAATTATCTAAACCTAAAACACTAAAAAAAAACTATAAAAAATCTTAATTTTTTGTTTTTTGTTTTTTTTACTTTTCCTCTCTTGATTTTTTTTTATCGATTCTTGATTGTGTCTAATTGATCATAATGGGATCTTTTTATAAGCCTCTAATCTAAATCATAATATGAGAAGGTTTTCTTGGTTTCTATCTCTTAATCAAAGTAAATTTTAGATTTTTAATCCAAGTCCACATCTCAAATCAATACATTTCTTTTTTCAATTAAAATACTAGACTTCAAACCGAATCAAACTTTTCCCTTTTTTTCTTTCTTTTTTTTAAATCATAAATCAATTAATTAATAAAATAAATAATTCTAAACTAAACAAAATACTAAAATCCTAAAATTAAACTAAAAAAATACCCTGGACTAAATGGGGTGTCTATATATACCATAAGATTAAGGTACCAAATTTTAAAAAAAAAATGTTCTTAACCTCTATCTCAAACTTTCTTTGATAAACTCTCTTTTTTTGTCTATTTTCTTCTCCATTTATTTTATCAGTGTCAGATTAAGTCGATATTGACTGACGATTTTCCATTTCCCATAACCTTCTCTTCTTCTTGAATCTCTCTTTTTCTTTTTTTTGGTCTTCCCTTATCTGATATCTCTAGAAATTTTATATTTAAATTTTCTTTTTCTTCCTGTTCCCCTTTTTTTTCTTTTATCTTTTTGAAACTTTTATTCTTCTAGATTGTTCTTTTCTTTTCTCTTATCTTCTTATCTTTTTTCATTTTTTTTAGTTTTCTCTTCTTCTTTGGAATATTTTACTCTTTTCTTTTTTTTGCAATATATTTTAGTTTAGTTCTTAAAAAACAAAAGATAGGTGTCAACATAGGATGCTTAAAAGACTTTTTATATATAATAGTATAGATTTGAATAATACTCAAAAGATAAATCAAGTCCATATGGTGTTATTTTCTTAGTTTTGTGTTATAAAGTAAATGGTTCATGATATTTGAAGTGAATATCATTTTAGGTTAATCTAATTTTGAAAATTTTAAATTACATTTTACCAAAAAAGAAAAACCTTATAAAATCTTTGAAAAATTTTGATAAAAAGTGAAGTTATAGACAATTACAAATATTTTAAAGTCTCCCAAGTAAATAAAAAAAATGAAAGTTTATTTAAAAGGTGGGAAGGAAACAAAAAAGAAATCTTTAAAATGAGAAAATAAAAAAAAGTTAAAAATTAAAACTATCTTTAAATGATAATTTTAAAAATTATTTAAATTTTTAATATTTTATCACAATTAATCAAAGTTTTAATTTTTATTTTAATTTAATTGAATATTTAATCAGATAAAATCTAGTCATATGAAAAAAATTTAATCAAACAATTTACGAAATAAATCAATTGACTCCTTAAAAATTTTAGAGAAAAAATAAAAAATAAATAAAGAATTTATTTTATTTTATTTTTATTTATTAAATACATAATATAACAAGTTTTTATCTATTTTATATACATCACATAAACTTTTATCTTATTTAAAAAATTAACGATATTAATTTTTTTATTCAAATAAAAATTTAATTAAATGTAAATAAATATTAAAAAAATAATTGATGGAAAAAAAAAAATGACTTCAATGATTTTTAAATTACATTAGAGGGGCTTAAAAAAAAAAAAATAAATAAAGGCTTCAATTATTTTTAAAATTACATTAGAGGGGCCTTTCGGTATCTTCAGCCGAAAAAAATTGTTGTTGCTTGAACTGGGCTTTGTCTTCGCCAGCAAGAGCCATTTCTGCTCCATGAACCCATTTGAGCTTAGGTTTTATGTCTCCTTTAGGACCTTTCCTTTTCGGCGTTTATGGGGTTTTCATTGTTTCTTTTCTGGGTTTTTAGTTGCATGCAGGATTAAGGTTTTTATTATCGATTTTTCTTTTTGCTTTTTTTAAATTGCATTTTCAGGTTTTAAAGCTCGTATGTGTTCGTTCAAGCAATCGACTTTTTTTGGTGATTTTAGAGTCTTGGGTCTGCTTAAAAACGGAGTTTAAGGATTGACTCTTAAAGATCAGATTTTTTATTTTTTCATTTATTTTTTAGGAGGATTTGTTGAAAGGGGTTTCTGATGGGGAGCACCGATGAGCCCAACATAAAGGGCATTGATGCGTCGGTGGGTGGGTTGGTTTGGGTCCGACGCAGAAACGGTTCGTGGTGGCCAGGTCGGATTATGGGCCTTGACGAGCTCTCTGAGAGTTGTTTGGTTTCTCCAAGATCTGGTACTCCCATTAAGCTCCTTGGTCGTGAAGATGCAAGCGTGTGAGTGCAATTTTTTTTTTTTAATCTTTCAGTCACTTTTTAGATTTTTATTGGCTAGGTTTAATGGCTTGCATTGATGTTGATTATGCATTGTAGCACTTTTCTTTTATTCAAGGTTTTTTCTTTTGTTTAATAGTTTTCATAGTTTTGTCATTTTTGAAACTCTTGTTTTCGATATTGCTTAATCAATAAGACGCTGAAAAAGGGGAAACACTTGCAGATAATGAGTGGTCTTTCCTCTGTTGGCTTTTTTTGTATATTTTTGGTTCCATTTTGAGGAGAGGATTGCAAGCATGTGGTTTCGACCTATATGCTGCACTTTCATGTTCATATCTATTGTTTTTGTGGCAAGATATGGGGGAAAGTTCAGCATTTCCTTCATATTGAAAGTCCTGCTTGTTTGCTCTGGTGTATTATGTTTGTTATTCGTGCTTTTAGTGAACCATTTAACTCAACAAGTTCTGTCGTTTGAATAAAATCTTGTGTGGCTGTTTTTTAATAATCAAAACTAAAACTTTTGGTAACTTGAGAAAAGTTTTTTTCTTTAAGCACCGACACTGTTGATTTTATTTCAGTCTGGTAGGAGAATCTGTATCTAATCCTCCAAGAGCCCTGTATAAATGTTTTACCTTTTTTTTTTTCTTGTTGCCATGTCTTTACACTGTTATAGTGTATAGGCATTGGTTAATTGAGCTCTAAAGAACATTTCTGAATCAGTTCATTAGGTGAGTGTTTGTTCTGTTGCTCACTAGTAGAGGCTGTAATCATCCCTTGTCGCAATTGTTACCTTGTAACTTGTTGACTACGTCTTGATCCAATAGAAAATAACAAAATTATCTAAGATTGGGAAAGATGACTTCTATTTTCCCTTTCAGATTATGATGATTTAGATTCAAGGTTTTTCCTTTATAACCCGTCATGTCTTTATTTATTAAGTTTAAACTATAAGCCTTGTTAAATGCTGAATTATTTATGGGTCAAGCACTGTTAGTGCTGCATTTTCTTATTTAAATTTCTAGAATGATCAAATCGCCCTTCCCCAAATTAAAAAAAAAATCTAGAACGATTTGTTTACAATATATGAATTTGGTCAATGACCACCATTGAATGGAAAAATTTACTGTGCTTGGCATGTGTTCATATTTCTTAACTTTGTTGACTAAATTTACTGGCTTTTTTGGCTTTAGGGACTGGTATAATCTTGAAAAGTCTAAGAGGGTGAAGGCCTTTCGCTGTGGAGAATATGATGCATGTATCAACAAAGCTAAGGCTTCGGCAGCAAATTCTAGCAAGAAAGCAGTGAAATATGCTCGAAGAGAAGATGCTATTCTTCATGCTCTCGAGATTGAGAGTGCACGTTTAGGCAAGGATCATCCCGATTATTTCTCTAGAAAAGATAATTCTGGTGGTGACCAGGGTGGTTCAGCACAAGAACCACCTACCATTTCACATTCTGGGAAAGAAAATGAGGATATGACTGATGAAATGAGTGAATCTGAGGATTACTTAGATTTGGCTCCAGAATTATCACAGTCTGGCATATCCTTTGAAGAGCCAAATCATATTAATGGTTCTAAGGGGCACTCTATGCTGGTAAAGAGAAGAAAAACCCCAAATGATTCAGAAGATGATGGAACAGAAGGAATCAAGCGCATGAGAGGACTTGAGGATCTAGGTATGGGTGTAGGGTCAAAAAGAAAAGCCCAGGCTGCCGGGGTGCTTGAGCTAGTTCAACAAGATAATGCTTCATTTTATGGCCCAAACACTGGCAACTGCCTGTCTAATGGAGGTCCCATAAATGGTAGCAGAAATCATTCATCTTCACTAAAAAGAAAGAGATCTCAAGTGGCAAATGTTCATGAATTCTTGAAAAGGAAAAATCGCCGGCGACCATTAACCAAGGTTTTGGAGAGCACAGCTATGGTGTCAGTTCCAGTTGCATGTGATGAACTTCCAAGCTCAAGTGGTTCACCCCTTAGGGGACTCTCTGATAGCAAGGTTTCAGGAATGGATTCTAATGAATCACGGAGAAGTGTTTCTGCTGTAGTTAACAACAACAACAACAACAATAATAACAACTCAGACAGTACTGGAGTTTCATGTGAGAATGGTGTCTCCTTAAATGCTTCTGAACATGCTGCTGATGCATCTCAAACTAATAATAAGACAAAAGACAATGAAATTTCCAGCATACCGGGGCTAGCTAAAAATGAATCTTCTGACAGGCTATTTGATGTGCCATTTGTTGGAGGAGATAAACCTTCTGCAGGTATTCTTGATTATACATTTATAAAATATAGCATTTCTTATTTTCACTGCATCTTTTTGTGCATAAACATATTCTGCTATTTTTATAAATTGCACTTGTATTGATGGGCTTTTATGGGGGGTTTTTGCTACCGCTGATGGATCATTTAGATCATTTGTTAGTTCTTTACATGTTACATGTGTCAGCATAATTTTGGTTTTGTATGGCTCCCAAGAGAATTCAGATATTCCTGCCTGCATTTAGCTTTGTATTTCTTTGTTTTTGTGGTGAGTTCTGGTGTCATATATCTTTTGATAACTTCATAACTCATATCTTGCATTTGCCTTTTTTATAAGATTGGACATTAGCTAAATTACTCTTCTTATTGGTTGAGGATATAATGACTTGCAGTGTGAATTTTCTAACCACAAGAATTTTGTTTGGATTGGGAGCTAAAGATTGATGTTTATACTCATGCAATCAAAGGGCTGAACTCAAAACTGCATTGGTAATAACGGCATAATGTGGACCAATAACTTGAATGGTTCTGTTGGTAGTCCCTTTTGGATCACAATTTGCCTGGAGACTAAGTTGAATTAGAGTAAAGACATCAAGCTCCCTTTGTATTTGGAGTTTTTTTCCTTCCTATTTCATGCACCTTTTCTACCAGAATTTTCTTCTAGCTCAACAACCAAATCAGTTTGAAATTAGTTTAGTACTGGGTCTGCTTCCTTCTTGCATTGTGGTCTTCTGCTTGTTTCTCTTTTTCTGTTGTAAAGATGTCAATTTAAGTACACAGTCCACTGACATTTTTAGCATAAGAAGGTATTCAATTCTGGTAATGTTTTATTTTGTGGATCTTTCTTGCAAAACCTCCAGTTTGTGGTATCTAGATGCTCTTCTAGAGCCTGATTGTTTTACCTTTTACTCTCTCATCTATTTTGCAACTGTAGCATTTTACTTTTTTGCCCTATTGGTACTGATAAATCATTTGATTCTGACAGATTTTTCTCCAATATTTGTATCTTGTTCATCTGAGATGCCTGAAGTCGGTGATTTGGGGAGGCAAGCTGAAATTGAGGGACATAATGAATCTGGCTGTACCAGATCAGTGGCTGTTCATAAAAATATTATTAGCCAGAGGATAGAGAAAGGTAATGCAGAGTGGCAGTTAAAAGGAAAGAGAAAATCAAGACAAATAAGTAAAATTCAAAAACACGACTCGAGAAAATATGCTGACATGGATGATGAACCAAATGCTTATTTGGCAGGTATAGAGCACTTGGATGGATTTTCTCAGGGTTCTGATCAGAAAGTTGATTGCAATGGTGTTGGTGGGTCACTTGCTCCATACACTTGCACCTTGCAATCCAAGTCCAAGTCAGTTGTTGAAGAGCTGCTTGATGGGTTCCGGGACTGGAAGCCTATGTCTCGGGAACCTCGAGTGAGGGGGCCAATAATGGAGGAAAAAATACTACCTGATGGTTCTCTGACCCGTCAAAGGTTACTTCCATACCGTCAGTCCCGCTATACTGTCCACTCCAGATATCAGATGACAGATTTTCCTGGAAAACCTTTTTCTGCTGATTCATCATTATATGATGTTAAGATTGAGGTGAAAGCTAACTATAGGCCACAGCATGTTCCATTAGTTTCCCTCATGAGTAAACTGAATGGTAAAGCCATAATTGGTCACCCTCTAACGGTCGAGGTTTTGAGTGATGATTATTGTGGCAATTTGACTCAAGAAGCTGGTATGAAGTGCAATGAAATTGTTCATTTAATGAAGCGAAATTCAGGTGGACGAGTCCCTACAAAGCATGTGAAATTGCAATCACGTAAATCAGCCAAAGCGAAGAAATCTGGACTGTTGTCAAAAAAGATTCGGAAATTGTCTTCATTGACTGGTCGGAAGCAGGGTGTAGCAGACAGGAAACCGGTTGCGGATAAGCCCGAGGCTCCTGTAATAGCTTGCATTCCTCTAAAGTTAGTATTCAGTAGGATAAATGAAGCATTGAATGGCTCAGCACGACCAACACACCGCCCTTTAACATCCGGAAATTCATGAATAGGTGATTTCGGGGACTCTGTTCGTCTAGAGAACCCAGTAGCTGGTTCATTTTAAAATCCTTGCCAATAGCAGCAGCAGCATGCATTCTGCCACAGGTAGGTCAATGAATCCCGTTGTACAATTGAATTGACATTGGTTTTGTTGTAGAAAGGGAAACTGGTAGGAGTACGAAGGATGATGATGAAGGCTTCTCTAGCTTTGTATATATGAAAGTGTAACATTAGTTTGAGGTGTAAAGGAGGTGGGATCAGGTGATATTGGGTTTTCTTTTTTTTTTTTTAATTCATGAATTCAGGTTGATTCAGGGGGCTAATATCCTAAATTTTACCAGTTGTACCTTTTTTGGCTTTGGGACTTTGATTTGGTAATTTATTCCAATTCCCATAGCCTCTTTCTTTTCAACTTTTGTACTGTTTTTGGAAATTCAAATTCTAATGTTTTTCTTGCAAATTCCATTTCCTTCTTTCTTCCTTTATTTTTGTTATTGAGATGTAGACCCTTTTTGGGTTGATCATGGATCAGGGCCCCATTGATTGACAGGAAAATGTTTCAATGGTATTTGCGTAAATGAAAGTTTTTAAGGTTAGTTAAAATAATATTTTATTTTTAATGTAAGTTAAAATAATATTTTATTTTTAATGTTTTTATATTAAATATGATAGTTGACAATTAATTTATGAATTTAAACATAATGAAAAATAACTTACTTAACATAGTAATTTTAAAGAGTGTAATTTGTTAGCAAAATTCAAATATGAATGTTATTAATTAAATCAATCAATCAATTATTATTTTTTATTTTTCAATTTTATTCTAACATTTATTTATCATGAAAAAACAAAAAAAAAAAAAGAAAAAAGTTCAGCAAAATGTTAATTGGTGTGTAATGATAAAGTGATATTTAAGAAAAATTTTATAATTTTTTTTAATTTAGTAAACTTATTGTATTAAATGCAAAAATATTTGTTAAAATAATATATTAAATATACAGATTAAAAATTTATTGACTGTTGTGATATTCAAATATGAGTTAGTATTATTTCATTAGATTGGATAGAATTGATTTTGTTTAAGATTGGGCCGACCAGCAGTTTTGGGCTTTTAACTGAGGACATGAATATACTCATAATTAGGGTTTTCAGTGATATAAAACCTCTTATTTTGCTCCTCCTTACGCTCTCCAAATTCTCGCTTCAGCTCCCTTCCCCTTGTTAAAAACCCTAAAAATCAACAGGTTTTCCTTCTATTCATAGCTCAAAATTGTTAATTTATTTCTGATTTTGTTTGCTTTGTTTGAAGATTTTAATCTTACCAAGGATGGTTTGGGTGGATTTGGCGCAGGGAAAGAGAAGATGGCGACAGTTCCAGGACAGTTGATTTGGGAGGTAGTAAAGAAGAACAATTGTTTTTTGGTGAAGCAGTTTGGAAGAGGAACTGCTAGCCTTCAGTTCAGCAAAGAGCCCAACAATCTCTACAATCTCAATTCCTACAAACACTCTGGTATCTTCTGATCCAAAAGTTTCATTTTTTTTTCTCTTCTTCTTGTTTCGAGGATGTTGATCTTCGGTTTACTTGAAAGAAATGGTAGCTTTTTTCTTTGGCTTTTCTTTTTCGTTTTAATGATTTGTATGCAAATGCTTGGTAGTCACTTAGGAAGTGTGAGGAGAAATATTGGGTTTTTATTAATGGATTCTATTGGCTGCTTTTTGTTTTTTTTTAACTGAATTTGGTTTCTTAGAAAAACTGAAGTTTTAGATTTTACCTTAACCCGAGGAAAATGTGAATAACACGAGTTGGGGAATGGTAATTGATATATAACTCAAGGAATTGTAAAATAAGGTTGCTGTTTTTATCTTGAGAATTTTAAGAACTTGTACAAGCTATGATGCCCTATTTGTCTAATATATTTTCTTTAATCCCTTCCCTTCCATAGATTCTGAACAGCCAAGTATGTTCTTTTGGTTTTGTTTGACTTGCTCTTTGCTGGATCTAATTTAATTTTAGGGTTGGCAAACAAGAAAACAGTCACCATTCAACGTGGGGGCAAAGACCAGTCTGTGCTGCTAGCAACCACCAAAACTAAGAAGCAGAATAAGCCTTCGAGCTTGCTTCACAAATCTGTCATGAAAAAGGAGTTCCCCAGGATGGCCAAAGCAGTCACAAACCAGGTAAATACAAAGTCATCTTCTGAAACATGTCTCTTTATTCTTTTACTAGGTTTGCTATTGGTAATTGACTAATTGTTGTGGTTGTGTTGTTTTGAAGAGAGAAAATTGTTGGATTGTTTACTTGAATGATGGTTTATTTATCTAAAGGTGTGGTGTTGCTTGTATTCAAATTTAAATTTTCTGGGAAGTCTTATCTTGCAGTGATGAAGCAATAACTTGTAAGAAGGATCTATTTGTTGGATTCTTCTGTGAAATGTACTTGTTACGCTTGGCTTCTGAGCTTCCAAAATTTAAACAGTGCATCTTCAATTTTTATGTAGCTAGTTTTGAGCATAATTGTGTATATGTATCTTGCCACACCCCCCCCCCCCCCCACTGTTTTTGTTTTTCCTCCCACTCTCTTCCCCTCTCCTTTCTTTTGGCAGCTATTATATTCTCAATGTTATTATTGTAAGTGTGTTAACTTGCCAATTGCACACTGTCTTCATGCTGTGGCTATTCATATGGATTTTCAATGATAATCTTAAATCCTGTTCATGTAGTTCTCTTCTCTAGTCATTCTTATAATTTGTCTCACCATAGCGTTTCTTTAATGAATTTCCTGTAATGCTCTATGTTTTAAACATTGCAGGTGACAGACAACTACTACAGGCCAGATTTAACGAAAGCAGCCCTTGCACGGTTGAGTGCTGTGCACAGGAGTCTGAAGGTTGCCAAGTCTGGTGTCAAGAAAAGGAACAGACAAGCCTTGAAGATCCATGGCAGGAAGTGAGCTAGACAGTTTTAAGTCGTATTTTGCTGCGATTTTGATTGTTCTGGACACTTATTTTCTACCTTTTCTGAAATTGTCTTATTTTCATTCATGGTTTTAGCTGGGTGGTGGATTTTATATCTAGGTTCTGAAACAGAAGATATCATTATGGTCTTTACTCGTCTGTTTTCCGGATTTTAATGTGGTAATTTTGAGCATTTTGCCCTTTAAGTTCCATTGGTGTTGAAAAAAACATAGCATTTACTCCTGCCATTAATATGCAACGTTTGTGGTCTTTCAGAGTTCAGACGTTACAAATGAAAGCCGAATGTATTGTGGGCTGTGGCATCACTGAGACTGTACTAGTATCTGTCTTAGGTCAGTTATAAAAATAAGTTCGCATTTCCAAGGGCTTACCCAGAGGGAAAAAGTGGCTGGTTTTATGTATAAACAGATTTTGGGCAAAATAGTCAATAATAATTGTCAAGTTCAAGTCTTTAATTATACCATTGAATCTAGGTTTATCCATTGGCTCAGGGAACTATGTTAGAATAGGCCATGTCTGTCAAGATAACTGTTGCTCTGGGTAAGGGCGTGGCCGCATTCAAGAGCAACATTACTAGTACTAGCACAAGGCGCAGTCTTTAAACAATGTCTCTCCTTCATTGAGGTGTCAGTGGAACCACAATCATCATTAAACGAACTTGATTCGAACTAGTTAACGGCTGAGATCAAGAGCTTGGCTAAGGCTGTTGCCGCAGATGCTCAAGTCATGAGAAGTGATTGGTATGGGAGCTTCTGACGCTCATCACATGCTTATAGCTAGTTGAAGACTCGCAGTTCATAATGCGCACGGTACCGCTCATGAGAGAAATTTTGAGGCAATGCTTTAATGGCGAAAACTTGGTAACAGAGTTCATTCCCATCAAAGAGTGGGTGAGATCCGTCTAATTACCAAATTCTTTACACTTGCCACTATAAAATTGAAAAATGAACATTCAGATGTGAACAATCCCTGAGAAAGTAATAAAATTTACAGGAAAAACAAAACCTATATATATTTGAATGGTTTCCAAATTTGTAACTGAGCAATCTTTGATAATTGATAGAGGCATCAACTTGTTGATCTTGTTTCACTACACTAGGCAATGAGTTTGAGGAAAAGCTTGGACACCAATATGTGGGTTTCAACATTACTCGTCTTATTTAATCCATCAGGTGTCTTTCTTGGAACTAATCGACCAAATGCCCTTTCTCCCCCAGAAATGCTCCTCAAAAGCTGTTTGGAGCACATGTCTTGTGCTTGTGTTGCATTCTTCACCCGGTTGGCTCTCACCCAAGCAGGTTCCTGTCATGAAAGAGAGGTCAATGGTTCCTATACTCTCATACTGTCATACATAGTCTCTTCAAATCACTACAGGTCTTTAGCTATTAAAAGTTTTTAGGTAAACAGATTAATACATGCTAGAGTAAGAGGAGATACGTCGGGAACAAAGCGGGAGAACCCAAATTTAATCAACAGCAAAACATGTTCCATGACGAGAATTGCTGCAAGTCCAGGCTCTATCTTCCATTTACCTTCCTGATCGAATAACCATACTAAAAGTGCAGAATTGGTGCATATTGACATCAATATTAGGAACTGAAATTCAAAGTCACCATATCACTAAATATCATGATAAGTGTTGAAGAGTGAAAGGAATATAGATGAACAGTAGGTGACAATTGATACTGCATCACTTATTCCAGAACTGTGCAAAGAAAATTTTCTTAATATTCATAGCTCATATATATATGCGTGTGTGTGTGTGCGCATGGATGTGGAAATACCATTCCATACCGACAAATGGTATTTAATGAAGATAAAATATTCTTGCCTTTTCTTACAAGCTTTGAAACATAGGAAACAGATAGCATATTACCCACAGTCATAGGATGCTTTTCAGTCTAATTTTAGATCAAAGTCAAATTCCTTGGCTACGACTGCTATACTCTGCAGCTACTTAAGTAGTCAAGATATGATAATAGACGGAATATTAATTTTAAAGACGTAGAAAGCAGCCACTTTAGCAACATTAAAATTTAAATTGGACCACCCAATTGTGAAAGTCTGGCTCCAGAACTATTCCCTTGGCTTGACTTGGCTAAGAACTATTAAATGCTCAAGTGAGGCTCACTAAAAACAGTTTGAAGCAAATAGAATTAAAGCAAAGTAGTTCTCCTAGTCAAGACATTTGCTTTTGTACTTGTGATGGCCAATGACCGATTGACATCATACATTTTTATGGTAAAAATACCTGAAAAATGTTTAGCCAAGCTCCAATTGTAGCAGCAGCCCGTGGAACAGGCCTTTTCAACATAGCAAGCAGCTTCAGGGCATCTGTTTTAATTTCTGCAATGTTGTTCTATACATCAAACAATCAAGTTTAGTTCACACTTCACAGTACTAAAACTGACATTAAAAACAAACCATATTTACAATCAGGTGAAAGCACCACTAAAAGCATTATATACCAAGGCAGAGAAGGCAAATGCAAGGGGAAAGGCACAGGCAAACATCATGATCATTCCAAACTGCAGTGCCATCTCCAGAAAATCTGCACACGGTTTCGAACTATCATTAAGTAGAAGAAAAAGCTAGGTTTTATAAGTTTGTGATGGGGCTTTATAATCAAAGTAAAATAGAATGTCTTTATACATCTAACAGCAAATTATTTTATAATCAAAGTAAATATAGAATGTCTTTGTACATCTAACAGCAAATCAATATAAAAATTTTCCATTAAAAAATTGTGATTATCATCAAATCTTCAAACTTACACTTATATATTATTCTATCTAGGTAGGAACTAGGTCTAAATAAAGAAAACCCATCCTGCATGCAAAAGGTAATTTAATGTGAAAAGAAAATAGTGGAAGAGTTTATCTTCACAATTAGTTTACTCCATATTTGGCACATTACCATCAAATAGCCCATCTTCTAGTTCCTCACAAATGCTTGCAGAATATGTGGGTTTCAGGTACTCTTTCTCCACCCTGGAAGTGAATTGGATCTTCCCAGTCGAACTTTTCTCACATTTTTTCTTGTTTCTTGACAAAAGAGATTATGCTAATTAGAACGAAATGTAAACTTATGCTGCACCATGCTAAGTAGATCGCAAACATAGACTTCCTTGGGAAAACCTTACCTAACAGCTCTATATTTTTTGTAACTGTACTTCAGATATGGCAAAGAATTTTCCAACAGATTTTCCAACACCTAAATAGCATTTTGCAGTTCATAAGCATTTTAAGTCCAAGAAGTTTTAAGGTATTAAAAGAAAGTAATGAAACTCAATTATCTTTACCTCAGAAAGTATCAGACGCTGGACCAACACTTGGCGAAGGTTATAAAGTTGCGATGTAAAAGGGCATGATAGAAAACCCCAATATACGATTGCATAAAATAAAGACCAAACACCTGAAATATAAATTGAATCCTTCAAATAAATTTCCTTACAAGGAAAAAGAAACTGAATGGCAAATCACTTTCTAATCATACTTTGTAGACCAAGCTGTCAGCCCGATATTCAGTGTTTTCATTGTTTTCGTACTTAATGAGCCTGATTGATATCTTTCCCCCAATCTTTGTGAAGTACTGAATGGCAAGAAGATAAACTGCGGTTAACCCAAACCTGAAACCAAAAGCATGGTACGCATAAAGTAAAACACCGTGTAATTTAAATAGGATGAAAAGAAAAGAACTCTTATAACGAGATTGTAGTAGCTGACAAGAAAACTAAATCAACACAAGTTATTAATCAGGCATAATCAAATTTAATTTAAGGTGTAGAGAGAGAGAGAGAGAGATGTGGGATCTTACTTCACAATATCAGACTCAATGACCTCATAGAGATGAGCATAAGCCAACTCAAATGGCAATTGGAGACAGATGATACTCGAAATAACAATAGCATCATTTCTGAATCGCTTGAGATAACCAAACCATTCATATCTTTGAAATGCTTCTTCTTTTGTTTTATCAATTCCCAAATTTTTTATTAGTTCCGTGGGAGACTGTAGGGAGCTCCACTCCCTCCCCAATATTTTGTACCCTTGGCTTGCGCTGACAGAAAAATTAAGATGCCATCTACACCACAGAGAGAAAGAGAGAGTAACTGAATCAGAAAAGCTGAACAAACAAGCCTCATATTTGAAAAGATGGCCCTTATAATTATATGAAACAATTTACCTGGCAGAAAGTGCAGAGTTTTTACGTTTCCAGAACTGGAAAAACAACACAGCCCACAACACTATGCTTATGAAGAAAGCAGGGAGCACTAGTAATTGTAATGATCTGGATAAATCATTACACCTAAGCAATTAAATTAAAACCAAGGATAAAACAATTCAACAATTGACAAGACAAAAACAACTTCCTAGAAGAAAGATATTGGCTCACCCCAAATCAATCAACTGCAAGATAAGGCCAAATGCAGCTGGAAAAATCATCCAACGTGTATACATCCCGAGGAAAGCAAAATAAACTGCAATCTATCATGCACAAATACCTTGATTAAACAACAGACTAAGCACTGAAAAATTTTGCTAGCTGTTAAGTTATAATCACCTTTGTCCCAAATACCGTATAAATCTCATCAATTGGTTGGTTTGTGAAGTTCCAACAATTTAATGCCCAACTCCTCAGTAGCTTCTTCCTCTTTGTTTCATCTATAGATAGGATTTATCGTACTTCAGGGCTTAGAGAACATGAGAACAGCAGATAATTTGCTAATAAATGTAACTAAGCATACCATGTAAAGGGAAAACTTGTTTAACAATTCCTTCCAATTCCAAACTCTGCAGTAATGATTCCCCAGCTTTCCATTGGATCTCTTTGTCATCATATATTAAAGTTGAGTCTGAATTCTTCTTATTAACCTGTAAAATTTCTATTTGATTACTGGTCTTCCAAGAGGCATAAAATTCAAAAACTTTATTGGGTAGAGGCAGCATACAGACACGCTACAGATCCAAAGACTTGTTTACATGAACAACATCGAAATACTTCCATGCATATGTGCACATTTTTTACTATATAGAGAACATCAAAACAGTGAAAATCCTAATCAATCATATCAATTATCAAAATATACCAACAAGTGAAAACAACTAATATATAGATAACAACCAACCTGTGCTCATTTTTTTTTTTTTTACTTTATAGACGAAAAACATGAGCTCATAGTTGAGTAGAACATCACAAAATTCAATAAGGATTCCATGTCATTCAGGAAACATGCATTTGAATATTAATTTGACCACCACAAAATAAAGGAGCACTGTAAAATTAAACTGATATCAACCACTTAAGTTAAACATAAAAAGAGCTGCCAGAAGATTAAAAAGCCATAAGAAGAAAATTTTACTTTATCTCATTCAAGACCTCTAAATATTAGACTTGATGTCTCATAAAGAAGTAGTGTTAAATTAGATAGAGAGAAGTAAGATGAAATGCATTCAATAACTC